TTATCCTACTTGAAATAAACAATCAAACATGCTATTATTTAACTGTTATCATATTCTACTTTACTGCAATACACAGAAGATGCAAAATTAATATCACATTTTCTAATATAGTCCGCTTCCCACTGCTATTACCAATGTTATCAAACATGTAGGTTAATAATTGATGGGATCATTTTATAAATATTAAAAGTATAGGGTAAAGTTGTAAAATTAAAAACAAGCAAATTCTCATTTTCAATTGAAAAACTGGTAAGAACCCGTTCTTCAAATTTGAAAATGCATTTCCAAATCAAATTGAAAAAATTGGTAAAATTTTGATAACCAAACATTATTTTAAAAAAACAAAATTGAAAAAAAAAGGAAAAAATTTGTATGTCCAAACGGCCTCTAAATCTTTAACTTCCCCTGCTGTGACACAAAAATTTCATGCACGCAGCTTTTACTTTGTAAAGATTCTTTTATGGCGTCCATGTAGAAAATTTAAATTCGTGAGATTTTACTATTTATACAAGGAATGCCAAAAAAATCAGTATATTATATCCACAAAAGCCACACACAAGTTACCAACTAATTAATTGTCATTTAATTTATTTATATGGAGATCAAGTAATTCGATTGGAAAGACTTTCTCAACCTTAATTGTCCTACGCGTAAACGTAAGTTACTACATCTTACTTATTGTAGAACGCTAGCTGCCGAACTAAAAATTCGATCCTACTACTTTTATTAGTTGAGGAATTCAATTGTTTTAAATGGAAAGAAAAATGGGGGACCACATAAAAGAGAGTATTAGAGATGAAAATGAATGAGCAATCAATATTCTTTTAAGTAGTTTTCTTAGAATATGAAATTTGTTATAAATAGAATTTTATTTATGGTGAATGTCTATATTTAGAGAGATTCTAGGGATTATTGCTTGGTGGTTAAGTCACTATTTCCCTATAAATAGAGGGTCCTATTCCATTGTAATTCATCCCAAATCAATAAGAATTCTCTCCCTCTACTTTTCTCTGCAATACTCTTCTTCTACTTTTATTGTTTTATAACATGTTATCAGCACGAGACTATCCAATTGAGTAGAAACTTTGGGATTGAGCATACTGATTGTCAATTGTTCCATGAACTTCCGTCATGATTAAATTCTGAATTTAAGGTAAGTATTTTACTTTATTTTTCTCTTTTAAATTCTTGACATTCTATAATTTGATTTTAAATACAAGCAAAGACAATAAATTGTGATTATAACTCTAATAGAGTTTGTAAGAAATTATAACCACGTGAAGTGGTAAAATTTGTATGTCTTGCCATGATCAAATTCATGTATGATTGTGGGCACAAGAAGTGAAAACCCGTCCCATTGAATTTGCTCCGTTCTCATTCCCTTAAGAGAATTTGATAGCAGTATGTGATAAGTCTGAAAGAAGACAAAATTATTGATATGAATGTATCAATGGATGTGGACGTAGTTATAGACGAAATTATAATCGTCATCATTGTGGTATTGAGAACAATAAAGATTCTCAAAATAATCCTTCACTTTGTGAAAGTAATATTTGTCATCGATTTGACATGAGATTTTGTAAAGCACATATAGATGATTATGGTCCATTCATGATGTGAATGTGACAACATATGATTTATGAATACATATTCAGTCTTGGAAGAATATGAATGTGCTAGTGGTAGTGAATATACCACACTCACCTCTAGAATGAGGTTTGAGGGAAAATAAGAAAATAGTGTCATTATTATGGCATAAATGGTCATTGGATGCATACCTATTGTACGCCAAAATAATTTGGCGATGTGATTATTAAAGGGCAACAGTAATACAAGGAACATATCATGTATAGAATTCTGAACATGACCATAATGGTATAACTTTCTCTTTAAAAGAGATATTCACCACATGGATGTTGATGAATATGTGGTAGTACAAAATTAATTGAGAGCTCTGGAAGAGCCAATTATTACTATTTTCTCCCTTCACAAGTGGTTCGGGGTGAGGAACCAAATAATTTCATCTTACTATTATTGATGTGCGGTGTATATTTTGATTAACACCATAACGCACAAAGATGATGAAGCAAGTTAGTTTTTCTAACATGATGAGGAGAGATGATAACATTTGAGAAAAAGTTACGCGGAATGAATTATCATTTTTACATCTAGATCCTCGAATAAAATAATATGAACTTGAAGTTCATAAAAAGATAATTCATTTGCAATATATTGCAAAGCATGCCAGACGCATTTGCTGACCCAAAGAAAGTAACTATATTCTCGTTGCAAATGCTCATATTAAGTCCTATAAGGACAAAGTCTATGGTACACTTAAAGCGTATAGATAGATCGGTTTCAAATAAACTTCTTAATAAAGAAGATGAGCAAATGATCAAAATGATCATAATAAGGGAGGCAAGTGATCTAGAAGATCGCATGACATAACACTTCATAAAATCTCATGAGAGATTCAGGTACCTGAATATATGAATGAAGAGATCTCTATGTTATGTCTTTATGAAAAATAAGGAGGTTAGAACCATACAAAATGTTTGTCGACGACATTGATTATAGCACTAAATATATATGAGGATCTTAAGTCTGGAGAAACAATTCAAGTAGAATTTGGTTTCATATGAAAGACAAGTAGTTTTGGACCTGCAGTTCAAATACTTAAAAGTATAAAGTCAATGGTGTGTGCTATCACGTTTATGTATCTTATATGTCTGGCATGACATGAAAACTTGATGTAAATCTAAACTTTATTTATATGGCTTATTGACTATACTTATATGGCAATCCATGAACGATTTAAAATGCTGATAGCATATGCAATTCTTGGAGAATTTTTTGGTCACGAATGACCACATCCTAAGTGCAATTTGTGCACAAAGGTATCTTGCTATAACTATAAGCATGATAATGTGATAGCGAGGATTTTCAAGGTGCAACATATTCATTAGAGTTAATATGGCAATTTTATTCATCAAATCTCTGTCGACGTCAACCTTCAAGAAGCTAGCGCACAAGATTGGGATGCGAAGGCTCAAGGATATGAATTGATGCTCTCATCATGGGGAGTTAATGCGCGTTGCACTCTTTTCCCTTACAAGGTTTTGTCCCACTGGGTTTTCCTTGCAAGATTTTTAACGAGGCAACCAAAAGGCGTATTATTAGATATGTGTAGTCTTTTTCCTTTTCTAAAATTTTTCCCCATTGGGTTTTATTTTAGTTAAGGTTTTAACGAGGCGCATTATCTGTTGAATAGACATTCAAGGGGGAGTGCTATAAATAAAATTTTATTTATGGTGAATGTCTATATTTAGAGAGATTCTAGGGATTATTGCTTGGTGGCTAAGTCACTATTTCCTATAAATAGAGGGTCCTATTCCATTATAATTCATCCCAAATCAATAAGAATTCCCTCTCTCTACTTTTCTTTGCAATACTCTTCTTCTACTTTTATTGTTTTATAACAAAATTGATTTTTTGTTTTAATTTTTCGTTGTATGGCTGGCAGCCATCGTAAAAATTATTAATTCACCATCAAATTTCTTTCGGTGATTTTTTGGGAAACATTCACATGATGCCTGGCCAACAAGAAATTGACGAAAAATTAAAGAAGAACGAAATTACTACTATAATCATTTCCCTGAATAAGGTGGGTGTATTAGCAATCAATATTCACCAATTATACAAGGATTAAAATTATGAGCATACACTTATATCTGATAGTGTATAAATTCTTTGCTACAAAAATCAGTGTATGAGAATTAAACTTTGTTTACAATGGTGCTTATATTCATCTCAGAAGACACAATTTAATTGAAAAGGCTTCCCAATTACCAAATATATGACGTAAAAGCAAAGGACTTAGTGGACATTTGACATAAGAATTGTAAAATTCCAAAATAGGGGGAAAATTTTTTTTCAAGTGAAAATGGTATTTGAAATTTAGAGTTGTGTTTGGACATGAATATAATTTTGGGTTATTTTTGAAGTTTTGTGAATGATTTGAGTGAAAATTTTGAAAAATAGCTTTTTGGAGTTTTTCAAATTTTCGAGAATTTTCAAAATGCATCTTCAAGTAAAAATTAAAAATTTTATGAATAAATGTTGATTTCGAAAAAAAAGTGAAATTTGTTTTTAAAAAAGAAAAAAATTTCTTATGTCCAAACGGGCATTTGGCTGATTTGATAAAGCTCTATTCATATTTGCCTTTCCTTTCAGATTCAGGTTATTTAATAATATCAACTATTGTAAGCGCCGACCGTGCTTGAAAAACAAAATTTGAATTAAATGAATACTCCCTCCGATCACTTTTACTTGGCACCTTTTAACTTTTTACGCTCCTTAAGAAATAATAAATGAAGTGTATAATTTATCATGATACACATATTAATTGATGCATATTTTATTGAATTTGAAAAATGATTTGAAATGAGTAATAAATATTATGGGTAAAACAGAAAAAAAATTTGTTATCTTTTCTTGATATGAGTAAAGTGCCAATTAAAAGTGAACATCTATGTTTAGTATAGATGCCAAGTAAAAGTGACCGGAGGAAGTATAATTTAGCATTTGGATCTAGTTAAGAGTTGCCTTCTTGATTTCATCCTTAATCGGAAAATCAAGGCCTTTACGCATTAATTAAAGCCGGATATTCTTCACATATAGAAAAGGGCATCTTCGTGCACAAAGTATTTCATATTCAAGCAGGGTCTCGGGAAGGATCGCATCCCAAGAAATAAGCCTTCGCAAATATTGATCACTGCTTCCACGACTAGAATCCATGATTTATAGGTCACACACAAGTAATTTTGCCTATGCTCGGAGGCGCCCTGCCCGGATATTCTTCACACATACTAAAGCATTTCTTTATCACAAAATTCAAACTGTTTGATGATTTCAAATTCCAATAACCTCCTGATCGTCTAATCGATCAACACAAAAAAAGAAGAAAAAAGACGACTGAACCCAATTCAAGTACTGAAAAATAAACGAGATAAAACTCTAAGCACATCCATTAATTTAAATAAATAAATTCAACAACTACAGCTCATTGGTGGAAGATCCATAGTCTTTCCCTCATTAGAAGATTTCTTGAAAACCCTACTTCCAAAAACCAAGAACCCTAACATGTGCCCAAAAATAGCAACCAAGAAAACACCACCATTGAACGACATAACAGCCAACATAACAACATAAGCCAAACCAACTCTCAATCCATACAAAGTTGTCTGGATCAACCCCGCGCTCACATGATCAGCATTTTCCTTAATGTAATTGCTATGAGACAGAAATTCGACCAGAACAGCCATGAAAAAGACGACGAAAAGTGCCATAACGTACATGCCCAAATTATCATATCCAGGCCAATTGGAGAACAAAATTTCAGTATTCTTTCCCCAGAAAAATGTCATGTGCATCATCATATGTCGATGGTTCTTCATCATCATGCCTCCTCCTGTGCCGTTGTTCATGGCGGCTGATGGCGGCGGCGCCATAGCCATTCCATGCATGTGGCCGCCGTTGTTCATTTCTTTTTTGCCCTATTCTTGAATTTTCTCTAATTAAGAGATTTAACTTAAAAAGGTTGTTTTCCCGATCTTTAAGGAAGCATTGATAGTACAGTGCAGTAAAGTGTACTTTTTTCTGGTACAAGAGGATGAGGAAAATAAATACATGGTATATGTAGAACGGAAATCGAAAATAAGTTAAAGAGTATAAAACTTTATATGTTATCAGTAAGATTTAATTGATTATAGGGGGAAAAACCCAGTCTGGGCCACAAGGTATCCTGCGTTTAGGGGGTGTTCATGGTTTGGTTTGGATCGGTTTTTTCCTAAAAAGAAATCAAACCAAGTAAATCGATTTTTCAAATATTGGAACCAAATCAAACCAATTAAGTCAGTTTTTTTTATAGATTCGGTTTATGTCGTTTTTTCGAGTTTTTCAGTTATTTATCGTTTTTTTAAATATGAGACATACACTAAAAACACATATTTTGGCGACTACATTTTCAATGTAACACTATCAAGCCAATTGCTCTTTGAGAAATCTATTATTTATCAAGATACATTGATGATAGTTGATCAAATAATGATGAATAATTTAAAGACCCAATTAAAATTAAAATAGATTATTTTAAACATGAAATAGATTCTTGTACTTAGCAAAAGAAAACTACCAATCAAACTAGAATTTAAAGGCAAAGAACTAGATTATTATAACAACAAAGAACCAGACTAAAAATACAAACGATTAACATGTACCATAGAATTTTAGAAATTTTGTATAGAAATACACACAAACACACACACACACATACACACACACACATACATACATACATATATATATATATATATATATATATATATATATATATATATATATATATATATATGTGTATGTGTGTGTGTATGTGTGTGTGTGTTTGTATGTGCGTGTATCGGTGTAATAATAAATTTTATATAGCTACTTCTATAGTCGGTTTGGTTCGGTTTTTTCGATTATTTTTTACTAAAATCAAAACCAATTTGATCGGTTTTTAAAATTCAAAACCAAAATCAAACCAAACCAAACCAAAAAAGTATCGATTTTTTTTTGCTCGGTTTAGCCCACAGAGTCCTCTCCCTTCACAAGGCTGGACTGATCCCCGGAGGTGAAGCCAACTTATTACAGATTGAGCGTGATGACAGGCGACAATACTTTCTTCGCATCCTTCGTTTCAGGACAGGAACCATCAGGTTTTATATTTTGAATATCTCTTATTCACATATTACTAAAAGCTCATAACTTCGTTCCTTTAGCATAAATTTGTTCCAAACCTAATTATAGCAGCTGATTTAGACCACTGACGGGGAACAGCAGAACGAAACCTTTTCAATAGCTGCTAATTAAAACAAGGGTCGAAGGTAATAACCGATAAGTAGGAGCACCCTTGGTCGTTTTTCGGTTTGGTTCAATTTTTCGAATTTTTATGAACACTCCTACTCGCGTTCAAACAGAATCCGGGAAATGATCATACCCCAAGAAATGTAATATAGAAAATTTTATTGTTGCTCTAAGGCTCCACTCTTATTTAATTGATTATAGATTATTATTATATTTCTCAAGTTATCATATTACGCGTGATATTGAAAGTTATATGTCATTGTATGTCAATGTAATTAATTTGATAATGTTAAAAACAAAAGAGTTGTAAAATGAGATTGTCTTATGTGGTAATTGAATGATCAACATTTTAGTATTACATCGTATATAAATATGTTAAGAATTTTAAAATTTTTACTCCTCTGTTCCAGTTTATGTGAACTTATTTCTTTTTTGGTCTGTTCAAAAAAGAATGACCCTTTTCTAAATGTGGTAACAATTTAGCTTAAACTTACAATTCTACCCTTAATGAGAAGCTTTTATGACCACACAAATATTTACTCTGGGCTCCTTTTTGACTTGTTTAAGACGACAAAATCCAATTTTTTTTTTCTTAAACTTCGTATCCAGTCAAATAGGTTTACATAAATTGAAAAGGAGGGATTAGTTATTAAACTATCAGTGTTTTAAAAGGTAAATACATTCCTATAGCGAGGAGTTTTACATAAATGCGTTAGTCCGAGGCATGAGACCGTCACTAACCATTTTTGGAACAAGAATAAAATTTAAAATAGATAAAAATAAATAAATTATAGAACATATATTATTGAAATGTCATTTTATTATTGGATGTCCCCGAAGGGACACATATGTTATTTAAATTCAAATAAAATTCACAATTCATAGTAGAAATATATATATATATATATATATATATATATATATATATATATATATATATATATAAAATTGAATTATATATCTCTATGAAGAATAACAAAGAAAATCTCAAAACGGAAGTATATGAAGCGTGCACGAGATATTCATGTGCGTGTTGGGTGGATAGGTGAAAGTCATGTAAAGCATGCTTACTATGAAAGACTACCACTACTACCTCTTTTGAGGAATTGCAAGTCCTCACTCCTATGTGATTTTTCGAGACATTTCGGCTCCGCCTAATCGAGATTTAAATCTAAATCATTCAAATATTAATTTATTAAGCGCATTTATTTAATTTTCTTTCATAACTTATTAGTTCGTAGTAATATTGTAAAATTATTAGACCTTAATATAAAGATTCTTTCGACACCTTTTACTATCGCATATTTTAAGATTTAGAGATTTTACTCTTGCGATGTCAACTCGGTATAATGTCACAAATGGGGTCTAGGGAGGGTAGGGTGTACACAACCTTACCCCTATCCTGGAAGGACAGAGTTTCCGATAGACCCTCGGCTAAAGAAACGATGGATGAAGCGCTGACAACAAGTAATAGAAAGACAAGATGTTTAGAAAACTAAATCCAAGATAGCAAGGGTATTGAAGAAGTACTAATAACAAGTAATAACAGTACACAATATGTAGTGATAGCAAACTAGGGGGTACTGATGGCAAGTAATAACAGTACAAGATATGTGGTAACAACAAACTAAGGATAAAAAGGGGTACCATATTAACACTAATACTATTGAACTAAGGAAGACAAATGGAAATGCTCGACTACCTACTAACCTTCTACCCTAATTCTCAACCTCCACACCCTACCTCCTATCAAGGGTCATGTCATCGGTTAGCTCAAGCTGCGCCATGTCCTGCCTGATCACCTCTCCCCGAACTTCTTTGGCCTACCTCTACCCTTTCTCGTACCCCCCAAGGCCAACCTCTCACACCTCTTGACTGGGGCATCTGTACTTCTCTTTTTAACATGTCCGAAACCATCTTAGCCTCGCATCTCGCATATTTTCCTCCACAGGGGCTACTCCCACCTTGTACAGAATAGCTGCATTTCTAATTTTATCTAACCTAGTATGTCCACACATCCATCTCAACATCCTCATTTCAGCTACTTTCATCTGCTAGACATGGGAGTTCTTGACTGGCCAGCACTCTGCCTGATCCAAATATACAGTCGGTTTAACCACTACTTTGTAGAACTTACCTTTAAGTTTCAACGGCACATTCTTATCGCACAAGAAACCGGAAGTGAGCTTCCACTTCATTGTGACGACCCAAAGGATCATCACCTATTTTCTTACTCATTCCGTGCTTCCGAGGCCTTAAAAACCTCATTTGTAGTCGCCTCGATTTGCGTACGCAGTCCGGGCGCGTAGCCGGAAAGCTTAAATATAAAATTCTGTAAAAAATGCTAAAATTTGATATTAAAATGAGTAAATTTGACTCCGGTCAATATTTTGGGTAAACGGAACCGGACCCGTAATTTGACGGTACCGGAGGGTCTGTATGAAAATATGGGACTTGGGCGTATGCCCGGAATCGAATTTCGAGCTCCCAAGCCCGAGAAATGAATTTTTGAGTAAAATTGTTTTTCTGAAATTTATGAAGAGAATTGAAATGAAAATTGGTTAGAACATGTTGGTATCGGGCCCGTATTTTGGTTCCGGCGCCCGGTACAGGTCTTATATGTGGTTTAAGATATTTCTGTGAAGTTTGAGTGAAATTGGACGTCGTTTGACGTGTTTCGGACTTAAAACTCTAAATTTTAAAGTTCATGAAGTTTGAAGAAAAACTAGTGATTTTGAGGTTTGATTCGTTGTTTTTGATGTTATTTGGCGATTTGATCGCACGGTTAAGTTCGTAGGATGTTGTTGAGTTAGTGCATGTATTTGGTTAGGAGCCCCGAGGGCTCGGGAGTGTTTCGGAGGTGTTCCGGGTGGTTTCAAACTTAGGAAAAATTGCAGATTTTGGCTTCAGCAGTTGCAGGTCCATTTCTTTTTCGCGTTCGCGACGCATCTTCCGCGTTCGCGGAGCTTCCTATTTTCCTTTCATCGCGTTCGCAGCATTGGCTTCGCGTTCGCGTAGGGTCAATTGACCCTGGGGGGCTCAGCCTTCTTTCTCCTTCGCGTTCGCGCTAGTAACCTCGCGTTCGCGTAGTGTCCAGGACTCCTCCATCGCGTTCGCATGAAGTCCCATGCGTTCGCATAGAGCAACTTATTCTCCAAGGTCCTTAGGCGTCCATTGAAGCTTTCTTTCACCAAAACTTTGTGGGTTAGTAATCCTTAACTCGTTTCCTTCACTTTTCATCAATACCTAATGAATTCATAAGCCTAAAATATGTAATTAAGGGTAGAAATTAGAGAAATGGATAGGGTTAGGGCTTTTTGATTTTTCTTGATTTAGACCTCGTTTTGGGGTCGAATTTGAAATCAAATTATATATTCGGGCTCGTGGGTGAATGGGGGATTTGATTTTTGTTCGAACCTCGTGTTTTGACCAAGCGGGCCCGGGGTCGATTTTTGGGATTCTGGGAAGAAAGCTTGGAAATCTATAATTAGGCATTGGGCTTGATTTGTTTAGCATGTATTGATGTTATGACGTCATTATTATATATATTTGATTGATTTGGAGCCGAATTCGAGAGGGAAAGCGGTTATTGAGGATTGATTTGGCCGTGGAAGTTTGAGGTAAGTGTTTGGTCTAACCTTAGCTTGAGGATTAGGAGTTGCGTCCTATTTGCTAATTGTTTCTTGTTGAGTACGATGTATAGGCATGGTGACGAGTATCTATACGTCAGTGTCGAGCATGACCGTGAGTCCTTAT